CGTTGATGACCACGTCCTCGGGTCTGATACGTGCCATCAGTTTCTCGTAATGACGAGAGTCCGCGAAACCAATCAATAGCTGCAGGAGTTGGCAGTAATTGGCGTGTAATCTGTCGTTCAAAATGCACGACAAGTAGAAGAAGCTATGGATGTCGATGTCTTTGACGCCACTCTTATCGGTAATCTTCTCGAAGAACTTCTGCAAGGGTTCGAGTTGTAGTGTCTCTCCATTCTTCTGGAAGTACTGCTTATTAATCAACTCGAGTGACAACATGTTTGCCTTCATGTGCGCCACGTCTTCGGCCACTCTCTTGTCCATTGGCTCCACATTGGCGTCGATGTGGTTAACCCTTTCGTCCAACAGTTTCTCGAGTTCGCGGACCTGTCGTACAAAATGCAATGTCTGGCAAATACAGTCAAACCCCACTATATATACCGTACATACCTTATTGCGAATCATTTCCTGGCATTTGTGGTCATCGCTGGACATCAACGCGAAGCCAAAGCTAATCAACTCTTGAGTCAACACATTAAAGGTCGCCAATTGTCTCATGAGTGGTCGATAATCGCTGCCATAGACCACCCGATCGTCAAACCTCTTCATCACATCCACGAAATACACGTTTTTATGTGACTTATCGTTGACTATGTTGTGGGCGATCGCGTGAACGCACACGCAGTCCACCAATGAGTACAAGTAATCCACTTCTTGTCCACTCATACACCGGTACACGTCTTCCGACGACAACTCTTCGCACAGCACTTCCAGCACTCGTTTGCAGTGTTTGTGATCAGCAATGAGTTTGGCGTAAATGAGTCGCCAATTGAATTGCGAGCATATCTTCAGCCAAAACAAGACACCAAACGTTAGCTCGTCGTTGAAGACATCGATGACGGCCTCGAAGTACTGCATCTGTTGTGCTGTCAACAGATCACACTCTTTGAGCACTAATGCGAACAACAGTTCGTTGATCTGATGCAGAGTGCGGTCATCGGCGGTAATCTTCGGCACTTTGGACACCACTTGAGGCCATAGCCGAGCCATAAACCACTCGTTGGATGCGATCATCACTTGCGACCAACACTTGTCTCGTGAGCCCTCCTCGCAGTCTTGTGGCCAACAGTAATGCGCCGAAAATATGCCCAAAAATCGCTGGACATTGAGGTCGTTGTCGAAGTACTGGACGGCCCTCTTCGGTGTCTTTTGGCTGCCATTCCTCCGCAGCAACGGATCGCCCGATTGTTTCCCATTCGTGGCGTCACTTATCGACAGGTGATCCATACTGTAGCCACTCTATGGACGTGTGGTCACTGGTTGGGTGATAATGTGGTCATGTATTGGATCAATAAGCCGGTGATACAGTGTCTTAATAGCAACACTTGACCATCGATTGGACGCACAGTTGATATCGAGTTTCAAAAACGACTCCTTTTTGTTGATAACAAACACATGTTGTTTTGGGACACTTATGGACCCTTTTGTTCACAGCAAGCGTATGGAATAGTAGGCGCACTCATTGTCTCAAATAGTACCGATTCGGGTCTCATTCGTTAAAACTTTATTTCATAAAAATTGAAATTCATTACAATAATTGCTGTAAAGTAAAAATTTCATTTAATCCGTAACTTATAATAAATCTATAAAATGAACTAGATAGATATTGTCTGTTATAAGAATCCATGAAAACGTGTATAAAAGTGCAAAACATATCATTTGGATGTCTTAAGGCTAATACTGCTACATCTCGAGAGCGAATTCGTTGTCATCGACGGCGCAGACCTCATTCCACGGGATGCGCTGACAGCAGCCCCACAGACAGCCTACACAACGATCGATGCCCATCCAAATGACAGCCCTCATCAAGATGTTACGCATCGACTGCGGCTGACCTATTGGCTGCGGCTGAGGCTGCGGCTGACCCATTGGCTGAGGCTGCGGCTGACCCATTGGCTGCGACTGACCCATCACTTTTTGAGGCACTTTTTCTGCAATCGGCCCATCAATCACTTCGTTCGCCGGCTTTTCGACGACCTTTTCAATGGGCACTTCATTTGGCTCTTCTTTGGGGTCCTCCTTGGCGTCGACCCACTCCTCTTCGTCAGAGGATGTGTTCTTCAAATTCGCGTCTTTAAACAAATTGACGTCAAGTATTGAGTCTTAATTAGTATTAAGTAATTCACTCTTATACTCAAGGCACTAAACTATTCTCTAGTGTTAGTTATGAATGTGATTAAGGATAGGTTTTCTACTTATGAATGGCGAAGATTTAGTATACAATCAGTGATTATTAGTAAACCTTTTATCAGACCTTATACAATATAAATCTTAAACTAATCATACAATATATCTTTACATACCATTTGGAGCGATTACAGCTATGTTTTTGACCATATTTATGAATCAATTAATTGTATTAAATGGATAAAAGTTTTTACAACAAATAAAAACACAAACTTATTGAGAAAAACTTTTCTGTTCCTCACCTTAGGATCTATTCATGTGAAATGATCAATACATACACTCCATTTCACTTTATATTGAGCCAAAACTCATGAATAACCTTCAATTAGAAGATTCTTTGAATATTATTTCCGTTGCTAATGCCGGTGCCAGAGCTGGTGCTAAAGCAAGTGCTAGAGTTGGCGGTAACGCCGGTGCCAGAGCTGGTGCTGAGGCAAGTGTTAGAGTTGGTGGGAATGCCAGAGCTGGTGCTAAAGCAAGTGCTAGAGTTGGCGGTAACGCCGGTCCCAGAGCTGGTGCTGAGGCAAGTGCTATCTATTAAGACTACAAATTATGTATATTAATCATAATTTATCTACAATTAAGTCTCATATTTACTACTCATTTGTGTTACAAATTAAGAGAGAAGTGAAAAGTTTAGACAAAATATTCAGCTCATCATTACTGCTAATCATATCCCTATGTATTCACAATCAGATCATAAATTCTGTGTTTTTGTCATTCATTTTAACAACAGTTATATACATATTATTCCACATATTTCTGTGAATTGGCTGCACATTCATTGCATTTTGTTATGTCTGTAATATTTAGCCAAAGTCTATGTCTAAACTCATTGATAACTATAATTGTCATCTAGTTAAACAATACTCTAGTCATACACAACAAATGAATGTCGAAAAGTTGTATCATTAGAATCTAGCACAAATTATTCTTAAAATTGAAAGCGATATCTATTTGACATTTGGTTTCTATAGAATTGAATAATCGCGGGAATGAACGCGAATTCACTACAAGTCATACCAACAATAAATAGTAACTAATATTTAAATCATTACAGAATAATGTCATATAATTTGAAACAAATACAGTATTTCTAAAATGAATAACAATTAATGATTGTTTGATTGAGTGTCTAATGAGTGAGTTTATGGCACTTTTGCAGTATTGCCATCACATCTAACTTATTCACTTCAATCCCATACGAGCCATGACTTTGGATATTAAGGATGTCTGAAGGAGTGGTAGTCTTGCAAATGGATCC